GAATAGTTTGAACAGCATAAAAGAGGTAAAAACTTCCAACATTCTTTCTCTTCTCCCGTTGGTAATTAATTAGATTACAAAGTTAAGATCCAAAGAATAAAAATATTTATTGAAAGTATTTCAAATACTGCAAGTGTTTCTCTCCCAAACGTCGACTCAATAAATGCATGTGGATTTTATTAGAATTAACTCGGTCGAATTAACGAAACTCATTTGTCCGTAAATTTTGTGACAAGATACAGCACAATTTTTTCATGGCAAAATATCAAGAAGAATTCTCTGGTTTTCTTCAAACTACCTCATTTTTCTCTTTACAAAACTTCTCATCTTTCAGAGGTTTCAATGGGTTCAAGGCAAAGGATTCCTTCTCGATCAGCAGCGAGTTTTAGAAAAAAACAAGCAGAATGGTACTTCACCACAAGATGTTCCCACTGACAAGCCGTTGAAACTGCGTCTCAACGTCGTTACTGTTTTGGTTCGTCAACTACTGTAATGACGAAAGCAATAAGAAGAGAACTATTCTAGGTGAAGCCATTTGTCATGATCAGAAGAGGAAATGTTGGTGAGCCAGAGCATCAGGGGAATGACCGCTTCGAAGGCTACTGCATCGACTTGCTGAAGCTTCTCGCAAAGAATATTTCCGGCTTTGAATACAGCATATTCCTTTCGGAAGGAAACAAGTATCGTCACTGCAGAATTAACCGAATTTTTTTTCGTGAATTAAAAAAAAACTTGTTTGATGAATCCACTTTCCGTCAAACCAGCAGAATCAATTAAACATTTGTCATGCTCAGATATGGAGCTCGACAAGCTGACGGCAGTTGGGATGGAATGCTGGGTTATCTTCTGAATGAGGTAAATCTACATAGCAAGAGCGGTGTACTTCACGAAGGATTGTTGCATTGTTTTCAAAAACAAAATTCCGGAATTCCACACAGTGAAACTTTTGGATGGATAGGGATTCTCGATAAATAAAAATTTAATATAATCTTGTATTTCTCTGCTATAGGCCACTGCTAAACATTGGCGATAGAATACGTATAGAGATTCAACTGTAATAATTAGTTGACTGTTAGCCAGCAATTAATAATTTTAATTTTCCTTCCAGTTCGTTGTTCTAAATTTGTCAAAGTTTTAGTTTAGTTCTATAGGTCCAATTACCAAAAAAATCATAACTTAACATATTAAAAGTTTTCGCAGCAAACTAACACATTTCTATAACCTAAATTTGATTTGAGATGGGAGATAAACCTTCACCAAGGCTCTAAGCAGAAGCTTTTTTTGAGAAACGATATACATTTTTCGTGTTATCAATAATGGAATTGGTCTATTAACCAGGAAAAGGATTTTCAGCCAAAAATTTTTGAAAAAAATCGTGTGAGTTTCCAGCTTCACTGTAACGTTGCGGGGTTAGAACCCATGATAATTGCCAAAGCGAAAAGATCACATCCCTCCATTTCCAATCCTTTATTTTACGAGCGAAATACAAATTACCGAGCTGTGCAACTCAAAAAAGGCATGCCAAATCTCCAACAAGTATGTAGTTTACGTAAGCACAAATTGCAAGTAACCATGCAACAAACGTATATATTCCAATTTTGTATTTACTGCTCTCTGAATTATTTCAAAAAAGGGAATTTTCTAGACCGCTGATATAGCTGTAGCGCCACTCACAATCACACAAGAGCGGGAGAGAGCGGTAGACTTCTCAAAACCGTTTATGACAACTGGTGAGTAAGGGTACAGATTGCATTATTAGTTCATGAAGAAGCACTTTTCAGGGATTTCAATAATGATAAAGAAGCCGGAAAAACAAGAATTCAACATCTTTTCGTTTATGGAGCCTCTTGGCATGCGCATTTGGATCTTCACGTTGTGCTCATATGTCGGGGTAATTATGTGTGAAAGGATACTCTTGGACTTGGCTATTCTAATGCGGATGTATATGGCTGAGGAAGCTTTGAGACAAGAGCCCCTAAAACCGCCTTCCATATCTGCGGCGTGGTTTACAGAAGACGCTATGAACTTTCTTGCGATTTGTCTCTAGATCTTAAAACGTGCCCGTTGTATGGCAGTGGTTGACCGATTTTTAAATTTGCAGTTAATGAACAGTTGATAGAAGTTCGAATCCTGCTGCTGCCACGTTTTGCATTATTGCAAGCAAACTTTCTGGCATTCGCGAATCTTATACTGCATGTATCTCGGTTTGAATATATTAGGTTGGCCAGAAAATAATTTCGGTTTGAGCAAGCGCGGCACCAATTTTCCGCATTTGTTTGTCTTCCCAAAAGCTTGCAGGTATTTTCGATGGTGGCATCTGTGCGGCAAATTTACTAGCCAGCTCTCGTGTCGTTAGAGTTGGATCCATCTCGACTATATCCCTTAATTCACGGTCATCGCAAAAAACGTCTTTTAAGGTCTCGTCTCCATTTCGAAAACGTTTAAACCAAATCTGGACCTGCCGTTCGCTCCCCAAAAGCACCGCACAAAGTTTGAAGCAATTCTGCTGCACTTTTTCTTTGTTTGAAGTCGTACAAATGCAAAAGCGAATTTCGAATTTTTTGGTCACGCATCTTCTAAAGCTCATAAAATTCCTAAAACGGATACGCATTGAGATTAGGTTATAGCATGCTACTCACCGTGAAGTGCTCTTTCGAAAAATGCCTTACTTGCTCACAAAACTCCAATACAGAACTTGTGAGAAACGTGCAACTCGACCGAAATTATTTTCTGGCCAACTTAATATATGAGTGAATTTTTATGTTAAGTCTTTTTTGTGTCTAATCAGCTCTTGTCTATAAATTCGTAATTTGATCTCAAAAAAGCACTCGATGAGCCTGGTGATCGACTGGTGTTATGCTTTGCCCAAAGATGCTTTTGCCCTATTGCTGATTGACTTATTTGTCACTTAGCCAATTTTGTAAGACATAGGAGAATTCTAACTTTGAGGAAACTCAGTATTATTATGACTTATGTGTGAATGCAAGCATAACGACCGCATATATCATTTGCGAATGCACAAAATAAAACTTGCAAAAATGCAAAACTTTTGGCAACACGATTTACCCTTCACACCTGCCTCATAGACAGCATACTCTCATTCAGCCGCTAGTGCAACGTACAGGATCAAGCGTCTCAGCTACCTAACCCAGAGGATTTTCTTCGGAGGCCCCCAG